GGGGGAGCAAAGGGCAATGGAACGAGGGCCTCCTCAAGCTGCCCTCCCCATACCAAGACTGGGGCATGGCTCATCAGAGCTCTTCCTCCCTTCCTGGGGAGCAGGAAATACCCTCCTCTCCTAAGCTGTGGTCTGGTGAAATGCCAGGGCTGGAATGCTGTGGAGAAAGTTTAGATTGTTTTTTAATGTTTCGTTTTCAGGCCTTACCCAGAGAGGCTGGCCTTGGTCGCTGGGAGCCATTGCACTAGACCTTCTCTCCTTGTCATCTTCCAGAAATAACCTACAGTCTCAGAGGTAAAAGGTAGGTAGGATCGGGAGAGTGGAGCATAGGCTCCAAGGCTGAGGCCCCCCGAGACCCAGAGATGGGTCTGCCCTGCCTGCACCCGGAGACTGTGGTGTCACCTTTGCTGACTAAGGTCTTCCCTGGGGTGGATTCGGGGGGAGAGGGAAGCCCAGGTTCCCAACAGTCCCTAGGTGGGTGGCACCTCACAGGATATTTTCGGGTCTGGGTCTGGGACAGTCACTGCCTTCTTTCTTCTCTACAACCTGTGGTCTTCCTGGGGTTGGGTAGGCTGCAGATATATGAGCACATGCACTTCTCCCCCTGCTCCCTTTACAACAAATCTCTCCCGGACAGGAGCGCTGGGATGCTATATGCCCAGCCTGTCCCCTAGAGGCATCTCCAGCCTCTGACTATGGCTGGGCACCAGGAAGAAAGAGAGCTGTCCCGAAGCGGTAGGAGAGGGAGAGGATAGATAACAGCAATGGGTTTCTTGGTACCCACAGATGCCCCAGTCTAGCCTGCACCCATCCATCCCGCGGCCCAGGGGGACCAGGGCCCAGAAGGCAGCCTTGGTCCTGTTGGCCGTCTGCCTGGCAGCCCTTTGGGGGCTGGGGGAGCCACCAGAACACATTCTCCGATGGCTGGTGCTCCACCTGGCCTCCCTGCAGCTGGGACTGCTCTTCAAGGGGGTCTGCCATCTGACTGAGGAGCTGTGCCACCTCCATTCCAGGTGACTCCATTACCCATGGCGACTGGGCACCCCGCATGTCTTACTCTCTTGACGCCCAGCCCTGCCCCTCCTTGAATCTCTCGGGCTGAGCTGGGCTGGAGTCCGGAGCTTGACTGTCCCCTGCAGGTACCAGGGCAGCTCCTGGAGGGCTATGTGCTCTTGCCTGGGCTGCCCCATTCGCGGTGGGGCCCTGATGCTGCTGTCCTGCTATTTCTATGGCTCCCTCCCAAACCCAGCTGGCCGGCCCTTCCTTTGGACGCTTGCGCTCCTGGGCCTCTCGCAGGCCCTGAACATCCTCCTGGAGCTCCAGGTAAGACACAGAGGGAGGCGGAGGGTGTAGCCAAGTGGAAGCGGCAGCTAGTGTGTCCTACTCTGAGCTCGGTATCGGGAGTGGGACGAGTTTAGAGGTCGGCCCTTAGAGTAGAGCCTATAATGTCCTGCAATGGGAGGTCAATGGCAGAGAAGGGAGCAAGCTGGTAGCTGGTTGGGAAATCTTCTTGAGGAGGAGGGCTCTGGTTATCCTTCGTGGAGGCTCCCCAGGCCCACCCTGCTGTCTACAGGCCCTAGCCCCAGCTGAGGTCTCTGCAGTCTGTGAAAAAAGGAACTTCAATGTGGCCCATGGGCTGGCATGGTCATATTACATTGGGTACCTGCGGCTGATCCTGCCAGGTGAGCCATTTTCTATGCCCCTATTTCTAGAGCTTCATGACAGACAGTAAGACAAAAAACTCGCGTTTCTAGAACCTGCTGTATTTTTCAAAGCATTTTTATTCCTCAGGAATCATTTGATTCGCAAAGCAATTCTGTAGGCATGAAGGATATTATTATGCCTGGTTTTCAGGGAGGAATATGGCACTTAGAGCCACTAAGTGACTTCTCTCAGGTTAACTATGAATTCTTCCAATGAATATTGACTGTATGTTCTGCGCCCTTCGTGCGCATTTTCACTTTTAATTCATACCCTGTGGGCAAGGGATAATCATCATCCCTGTTTTAGAGATATAAGAAAATTGTGGTTCTAAGAGGTGAAGTGACTTCTCCAAAGTCACACAGCTTTGTGAGTGGAGGAGACAGGATTTGGACCCAGGTCTGTCCAGAGCCTGGATCCTTGACCACTCTACTGTGAGCCCATGTGTCATGTCTCATTTCTTCTGACTTGCTGGCCAAGGCCGTGGTTCTCCCATATCTCATTGATGTCTGCCCTTGTTACCTAGCTTCTGCTAGGAAACAGGTCTGGAGCTAGAGGCCAGACCCCGTGCACCTGGGATTGCTGGGAATGTCACCTTCCAGGGCACTTCCTGCCTCTCAGAGCCCTAAAAGCTGTGGTGGGAAGGAGTGGGGGTGAGCAGAGAAATCTGGACAAAGGACAATTGAGGGGAGAGAGAGGTGGTGGGAGTAGAGGGAGGGGTGGGAGTGTTCCTGAATTCTCTGCTCCTCCTGGCTCCTGCACAGTGCAAGTGGACTGGACCCTTGGTTCTCCTGCACCTACACATTGAGGGAACCAATGACCTGAGTATCTATCCTGGGTTGGGTGGGAGATAGGGTTGTAGGAATGACTTCTCGGGCCTCTCCACCCCAGGGTTCCCAACCCGGATACGCAAGTACAATCAGCTGCAGACCAACATGCTACAGGTCATAGGGAGCCATCGGCTGCACATCCTCTTCCCTTTGGACTGTGGGGTGCCTGATGACCTGAGTGTGGCCGACCCCAACATTCGCTTCCTGTATCAGCTGCCCCAGCAAAGTGCCGACCGTGCTGGCATCAAGGGCCGGGTTTACACCAACAGTGTCTATGAGCTTCTGGAACACGGGAAACCGGTGAGTGTGCGGGGAGGTGGGTGCTGCTAAGGAGGAGTCAGGCCCAGAGCACCAGAATTCTGACCCCTGGCCAAGCACTGATAAAAATTCATTGCCCTTCTCTGAGCCTTACTTTCCCCAGCTGGGCATGCTTCAGCTCTGAATGATGATAATGATCAGTAACACTAATTGAGCCCTTACTGCATACCAGATGCTATTCATCTGACCACCTCATCTAACCCTTGCCACCACCTGTGGGGTGAGGCCTGCTATGACCCCTACTTTACAGATGAGGAAACTGAGTATAGACTCAGAGAACCAGGAAGAAATTGGACGATTTCAACCTGACAAGCCACGCACTTGACCATAAAGCTGTCCTAGACCAAGATGTGAGAACATCTGAAAGATCTCACATAGGTGGGGGGGAAACCCAGGCCAGGGTTGAACCCCAGAGCCCAGCCCCCAGGAGCAGTTGACGGCAGGTGACTCCGTGGGCCTTGCCCTGGGATCTGAGAAGGAGGATCTGTGGAAGATAAATCTAGCACAGTCCTGGTGCTGATTTTAGGAGCAAAGGCCACCAGACACCATAGATCCCAGCAGGGTAGCCACCTCCCAGAACGCCATCTCTACAGGCTGAGGGAGCAGGGCCCTAGCAGTGGCACCAGGGTCCAGAGTCTGTCTGCCCTGGCCCTGGCTGAGTTTTGCGTTCCTGTCGCCTCCTCCAGGTGGGCATCTGTGTCCTGGAGTACGCCACCCCCTTGCAGACGCTTTTTGCCATGTCCCAGGATGGCCGAGCTGGCTTTAGCCAGCAGGATCGGCTGGAGCAGGCCAAACTCTTCTGCCGGATACTGGAAGACATCCTGGCAGATGCCCCTGAGTCGCAGAACAACTGCCGCCTCATTGTCTACTCCGGTGAGGACTGAGTAGGCTACCAGGCAGGAAGAGGCAGATATCCCGAAGGGTTAGAAGTAGCTAGAGCAACACCATGCCCTGGGCCTTCCCAAGTGGTCAAGGCATTTGAGCCCGGCCTCTTCCTTCCCCAGGAGAGGTCCTACCTCTCCACCTAGGACACTCAGTTGCTTTCTGGGGTACCTGGCTACGGGTCCTGGGTGGAGTGTGAAGAGATGGGCTCTAGGAGCCCCTGACGTCATCTAGGGATTGCCAGAAGAAGCAGAAGAGCCCCAGGCTCAGGACAAAGAGACCGGGGCTGCAGCCTCAGTGGCAGGTCTGTGCCCCTCTCTGAGCACCATCTCTAAGACTGAGGAGGTCAAATTCTGTTATCTCTGAAACCACTTCTAGCTCCAGAATTCCAGGAAACTCTAGCCCCAGGCCAGGGATGGGGAGGGATGCAGGGAGGTGAGGGAGAGGGAGTGTTGGAAGATCTGCCCACCAAGTCTCAGGGCATGTTCAAGTGAGAACCTAAGAGGTCCTCACTGCACTCCTCCCCCACCTTCCCCATCCTTGTGCCAGAACCTGCAGACGGAAGCAGCTTCTCCCTGTCCCAAGAGATTCTCCGGCACTTGCGGCAGGAGGAAAGGGAGGTCACTATGGGCAGCCTGGACACCTCGGTTGTACCCAGTTCCTCCACGCTCTCCCAGGAGCCCAAGCTCCTCATCAGTGGCTTGGAACAGCCTCTCCCACTCCGCACGGATGTCTTCTGAAGCTCAGGGTTTGCTGGCCTGAACCCCTAGTGCTCCCCAAGACTCTTGATCCACAAGACTGGATTGAAGGGCTTTCTTCAGCAGCTGGATGCCCAGCAGAACCACTTCCTCCCACAGGGAGCCTCTCAGAGAAGGTCCTTGAACTTAACATCTCAAGACGACCTTAGGCAAGTTGTTTTACCTCTCTGAACCTCAGTGTCATCATCTATGAAATGGGATTATAATCACTGTCTTACCTACCTCACAGGGTTGTTGTGAGGATTTTGACTGTATGGAACATTTTTGTAAACTATAAATGCCAGGTAAACTTAAGGGATGTGTCAGATGTCTTCCATTGGACCCTCCAGACTGACTGTCTACCCCTCCCTGCCTCCTCTGCCCTGGGATGGCATCAACAGGCTCCCTTGCTCTCTGAATTCTGGTCATGTTCAGTCCACAGGAAGCCCCAGTAGAGGAACAGAGGGAAAGAGGGGGGTGAGGTTGGGGTAGTTATTCCCCCAGATCCTTCCCTGCAGTACCAAGGTCACTGTGGGCTCTCTGCATCTCCAACCTAAAGTCATGGTTCTGCCATGTTCTCCGTAACTCTGTCTCTCCCCAGGTTCCATTACCTGTCCCTTCCCCATGCTGCTCAGACCCAGCAATGGTCCTGGTTTTCTGCAATGTCCCCTCTGGAGCACTCACTCTCACTTGTGGTTTCCTTATACCTGCCCTTTCTAAACAGCCCCCTTTCTTTTTTTTTAATTTTTTTTTTTTCAGAGAGTGCATACATGGGTGTATGTGGGGGAGGCTGACCCTGAGATCATGACCTGAGCTGAAATCAAGAGTCAGACGCTCAACCGACTGAGCCACCCAGGCGCCCCTAAACAGCCCCCTTTTTCAACACTGCTCAGATGACCTATTTGAGTGTGCCATCTTTCTCTAGCTGGACTCTGACTGACACAAGTGATTGGCATTTATTATCTGAAATGTCCAAATCCACTTGCACAGTCATACTTCCTTAGACCCCCTCCTTATTCTAGGACAGGGCGGTGCGGTGGTGGGTATGGTTTCACTGTGGACAGAGCCCAGGAATCAGACTGAGGGCATGGAGGGTAGCATGCCCCACGGTGTCTGCATGCCCTTGCAGGGCCCTTGTCTCTAGTGAGAGGCTTGGGGAATACGGAGCAGCCTGAGCAGGCACGCTGATGTCATGAGGGGCACACAGCCGCGTCCAGGGCAAGAGGCTACTCAAAGGAGCAGGGGCCACTGGATGAATGTCCCCGGATGATAGAGCCTGCAAAGGGATAAAGGGGGGGGGGTTCGTGTGAGGAGACGGGATATGCTCTGGGAGACCTTGGACCACACAGCCGGGCACCTGCTGTGTCTTATGACATCACTGTTAGAACCAAGCCATTACAACACTGTAGTGACCTGTTTGGGAGGGCAGGCGGCCCATTTCTACCAGTTCCTTCTGTTCTATCCACGACTTATTCCCTACCTCCCACCTCTGGTTTGGTTTTGTTTTAATTTTTTCTAAAGTAATCTCTACACCCAATGTGTGGCTCAAACTCACAACCCCAAGATCAGGAGTTGGATGCTCTATTGACAGAGCCAGCCAGGGGCCCCTCACCTCTGTTTTTATCACAGAAGCTCAATACGAATTTCTGTGTACAGCATCACTGTGGAGAAAGGCTCAACAGACAGACACATGTTTGCCAGAAGGAACCAACTGCTCCCAAGGATGCCACAGCCTAAGGAGTAAAGGGGGACACAATCTCTTCTTCACAGCTGTCCCAGCCATTCTGCCCCCAAGGCCTGAGGCTCCTCCAACATTACACCAATCATTCCTGTGACTAGAAACCAGGGCAGAATCAAGGGCCTTTCCAAAATGCCCCTCTCCCACCCATCAAGCCCCCAACTTGGTGCTTAGGCTGTGGAGTCTGAGAGCTCAGGTTCAAATCGTGACTTTACCACTTAGTACTCGTGTCTGCCTGGGGATCTTGATATCCTCCGCTATAACATGGAGACAAGAGTGGCTCCTCCTCCCAAGCTTGTTATGGGGAGTGAACGGTCTGATAGCCACAGGTCGGTGGATGAGCTGGGTGGCCGGCACAGGGCTGGGCCGCAAGGAGCAGCCATGAACATTATAGTTGCCTCTCACGAAGGAGGCAGGCCCGTCCTCTGTACACATTACAATCTCCACCTCTGTTCCTCTTCATCGTCTGCTATCCTTGCCTTCCTGACTGTGCTAGGGTCTCGCCAAGGCTGGTACCAGGGTGCACCGGCTGTCCTCAGGTGTTCCCCAGGGTAAAGAACTCAGAGGCCCCTCCATAAATGCCTATCCTTATGTTCTCGACTGCACATCAGTGAGGTGCGGATGTGTCAGGGAGAGAGTGACTTTCCAGAGAGCCACCCGGAGGCTCAGCTCTGCCTTCCTGCATCTTACCTCCATGCCCACACCCCCTGCAAAACCTCTCCTCATTCCTTCCTTCCCTTAGACAAGCTGCATGGAGCTCCTCTTCCTTTCTTGTTTTCCCACCAGCTGGAAGGTTCTGGATTTGGGCAATGTCATGTGATAAGTTTTAGGCTGGTTCCAACTGGCCGGTACACACAAAAAAGGGGATATAATGAGAACCCCCAAATTCCCCATCCCATCTTGGGAAGGCAAGACAAAATCTTGCCCCAACATAGTAGGAGGCATTCAAAAGTGATGTGGGGAGCTATAATTGGTGCTTGGGGCTTTACAAGGGCCTTGGAAGTTGCTGATGAGGCATAAGCTCCAATAGCCAAAGGGATGTCTTCCAATTGGTGAAGGGCAACAGATTTTCCTTCTCTTCCTGAGTACCAGAGAAGGCAGGCCCCTAGGTTCTTTGCCGTGGCTGTCCCTGACTAGCCCTCACAGGACCTGGGGGCTTTGGGGGTAGGACCTACAAGGAGACTCTGAGATCCATGCACAGGGGTAGGGTGGGTGGGGGAATCTTGCGAGCTGGACTCATGTTGACACCAAAAGCAAAGGAGATTAGGGGTGAGAGGAGGAGGTAAGGACTTGGTAAAGGAGGGTCAGGGATCTGATGGTCCCTGAAAAGCAGGGAGTCACTTTGTAAGGGCAGCTTTGGGCCCTAGCAATGCTCATAGGAGCGTGTTTCCAGGCAAAGCCCTCAAGCTTCTTTTATTTCTTCTGTCCACATCAGCGTTTTCTCTATAAATATTCTGCAGAGAGAGCAGCTCCAGCTGAGTCCATGTGTGCATTTCCAAAGCTCTGATGTCCAGGCCCCAATTTGCTTGTGCCCTAATTCTCTGTCCGGTTTCTTGTTCTGAGCCAGGTTGGTCCAACTTTTCAAAGTCTCCCTCCTACAGACATGTGACTTCATCAATGCTGAGCCTAGGCCCATCTGGCACAGGGCAGGAGCCAGGGACAGGAGGCTCCCGCTGGGCATCTTCATGACTGTCCTGGGGGCCCAGCACTCGCCAGTGGATGAGGTAGATGCCGCCTTCCGGCTTTGGGGTTGGTGGCTCTGTGGGGAGAGTGGCACGGCCCTGATGTAGTCTTGGCCCAAAGTGAACTGCCACCACGATACAGACGGCCAGCAGGACAAAGGCAGCGACAATGACGGTGAGCAGGGGCAGCCCATCCCCTCGCGGTGGTTCCCAGGCCCCACCTGGCACCTCTGGGAGTTGCCTCTGGAGCTCTTGACCCCCTGAGCCGTTCACAGCTGGAGAAGGCCAGGGATGGTGGCCAGCCTGGTAGGGGAGTGGCAGAGAGAGAGGGTGACATGGGCATGTGCACACAGAAAAAGAGCCAAATGGAGAGACAGACACCCAAAGGGAACTGAGAGAGAAACAGACAGAGAGACTTAGGGAGAGAGAAACATAGACAAAGAAAGAAAGAGACAGAGTGCAGACATGGAGAGACAGAGAAACATACAGATAAACACATGCGTAGCAACCCTCCCCCCAAAAAAACCCTGCACATAGGAAGAGAGAGAATTAAAGAAAAAGACAGGTGTGTTTGGGGTGGGGGGGATACAGAGAGAAAGAGAAAAACACAAAGCCAAGAAGACAAAGAAAAAGAGAGATAAAGAAAGGACAAGGAATGAAATAGATGCAGAGAGACAAAGACAGAGAAAAAAGAAACAGAGATAGGGAGACAAAGTCATTCAGAAAGGGATGGAGAGGGGCTTCCTTACAGTCTGGGATACAGAGTGTGGCCCCCCAAGTCCGTCCCCTCCCACTGCTCTGTCTTGCCAGGACTCCAGTAAAATTCCTCAATAGATAATACGTCCTAGGTCAGGAATCCGAGCACACTAGTTGTCTGCTGTCCCACGGCCTGGCCCTCCAGCAGTGAGCAGCTGTTCTTCAAGTCCTGGGAAAAGGGAGTCATTGTGTCTTAGGTTCCCACTACCCTCAACTCACACAGAAGGTGGAGGGGTGGTACCCTGGGGGATGGAGAAAGGAAAATGAGGCAGGAACCCCCAAAGCTTGGGGTGAAGCAAAGGGGATACCTCATCCCATAATATAGGATCTTCTTACGGGTCTCAGGATCTGGACCTGGAGGGGAGGGGGTGCCCAGTGTGGACTCCTGGCTGGATTGAGGAGAACCCACGCCAGCCTAGGCCTGTTTCAGGGTCCCAGCCAGAACCTGGGGGTACTGTCTGTCCGTCTCCGCTCTGCTAACTGTTGAGGAGGGGTGGGATGGATTACCATGAAGGTAGCAAACCTCCCAACGATAAACGTCAGAGCCAGCTGATGAAGTCACCACAGGCTCAAGAAGCCTTCTCTCCCTAGCCTCCCCTTGCCCGCTGGACCATCATGGGTCTGACCCTCCAGGGTGGAGCCTCTCCCCTAAACCTGAGCCATCAGCCTGGCCCTGCCCCAAGAGAAGGCAATTGGGGTCCAGGGAAGGCTATCCAGAACACTCTCTCTTTAGTTTCTCAGTCACTGTCATCCCCAACACTGTCCCTTTGCAAGTAGAAAGCCCAATACTCACCCCCAGTTAAAAGTCTAAGGCTCTCTGGGGCCCAGGCCACAGAGCCCCCAGGGCAGGGGAGGGAAGGGGGAAGCAGCTCCGGATGTACAGGGGAAAAAGGGAAGTTCAGGCTGGTGAAAGGGTTGGGGTCCCTGCAGGGAGTCAAGCAGCCTAGCAGGAGGGGATGAGCCAAGAGTCTACCTGGTGCATTGTCCGCCTGGTGCAAGGCTTCCTGGGAATGGCAGCCAGCCCTGCGAAGAAGAGCCTGCCACCCCAGCTTGGCCCCTACCCGGAGCTGCCACGTCTATGGGGCTTACCTGGCACACACACCCTCTGCACACACACTCTCAACATCTCTCCCTCGCTTTCACTTCCGTGAATACTGGGACTCTTCTGGGCCCAGCCCTTCCTCAACTGTGATTGGACCTTGATCTTGGCACCTCCTTTCACGCTCCCTGCTAGCTTCAGCAGCCTGGGTCTGCCTGCCTACCCCTCTTCCAGCAGGTCTCAGACACCTTGCCAGCACCCCCACCCCGCCCCACTCCCCACCATGACATGTCCACTCCCCACCCCAACTAATTTCCTGATGTTACTGTTTCTTCAATTTTTTTTAATGCAATATCTCAAACACACTGAAAAGTGTAGACTGTAATATACTAAATCTCTTAGGCATAACCACTAGCTCTGTCCATCTTAACAGTTTGTCACATTTATTTCAAAATTTTTTAAGAACCCAAATATTACAAATAAAAAAGAAGCCCCACTTCTTGACCTCTCCCCTCCTTCTTACCCCATGGGTAACCATGTTGTTGAATTTGATGTTTATCATTCCTGTGCAAGGTATTTTTTTTCTCTTTGGATTTTTTCTTCTTTGGTTTTTACAAATATGAATTCTGCATGTCTCTTTGCATCTGTCTGAATGTAACTTCATTTTGAGAATGTGAGTGCTTCAATGTGTCCAAGTCACAAAAAGTGCCCACCAGGGGCACCTGGCTGGTTCTGTCCATATAGCATGTGGCTCTTGATTTCAGGGTTGTAGCCCCACGTTGGGTGTAGAGATTACTTAAAAAAAAAAATCTTTTTAAAAAAAGTGCCCACCAGTTTCTCCTCTATCTGGAGAGTTCATAAAGGATAATTTTTGGTCTCAACTAAGTCCATGAAACCAAGCATCCCTCATTCTGTCCCTTGCTGTGCATGGACCCTCCATCCCAGTCTGGAGACCAGGAGACCCCTGGGAATCCCTTCACCCAGTGGTCTGATCTCAGGAGGCAAGATGTAGCCTCTTGATTCCTGTCCCTCAGCCAAGCTTCTCCACACTCTGACATTCAGGGACCTCACTCAGAGCTCCCAGCTCACTGAAGCCCAGGTCACTGGGCTGCTGACCTGACCTGCCAACTGAGTGAGTCCAATGGCTGGCTGGCCTTAAAGCCAGCTAGGAGGCTGACCCCCTACCAGTGCCATCCAAGGCTCTGGATGTCCCACGTTGGATCACTTAGACTTCAGCCAGAGGGAATATGGGCTCTGCCACAGTCCAGAGCTCCAGCCTCTGCTCTTTGGTTCCTGCCCCCTCAAGGCACATGTCCCATCACTCTTATAGGCCCCGCCACTGAGGCTCCAGTCCCTGAGTCCAACAGCCCAATTCCTGATCCTACTGAGGGCTCATTTCCCCCTTCCCTCCCTCGTCAATCTTGGATCTACCTCCTAAAAGGCCTCAGAAAAGATAAGGGGGTGGAATTTTGGGACTAGACAATTGTTCCAGCCTTCCTTTACTCATCCATCTCTATGCTCACTGTTGTGAGCTGCCCTTCCCCCATTCTCACCATCTAAACTTTAACCATCTTTTATGGCTTTAGTTCAAGTGTCACCTCTGCCAGGAATATAGTCTTCAGCCCACTCTACTGAGGTAGCTTTCTTTCTTTTCCTTAAACCCTACACCAGTATGTTTTTTCCCTCACTCCTGACATTTGTCACACTTTGATATACAGGTGTGTGGGCGCTCATTTTTCCTCCCAGCCTCTGAACCGCATCAGGGAATTCCTGCCTGTGTCCCAGAGTCCGTCACAGTGCCTGGTACTACACAACAGGTGCTGGACAAAGGTTGCGGAATAGAACTGGAAACCAGAAGCATCCCCCCACCCCCATCCTGAGTCCTGGAGGTTTGTAAGCCATCACCCTTCACCTGTGAGGATGGCACTTCTGAGCTACAAGTGTTCAGTGACTTATTCCCTCTGTCTCTTTTTTGGCTTTGTCTTATAATGGAACCTCTTCGATAGGTTCAGGTTCTAAAATGATCAAGAATCTGCTCTTATTTCAGAGCAGAAAAGTCCTGGTTTTCAATGTTTGAGCCCTGGAACCACAGATGAAAAGGCTCTGGGGTCCTCCCCACTGTCACCCCTCTGGCCTGGAGGCCCCTGACTCAGTTCCGTAAACTGGGGTCATTTCTCTTTTCCAACTCCCTGGGGGAGGTAGAAGTGGCCCTGTTGCCTAAGGAAAGCAAGGAGCAGCCCTTCCTCCCTCCTTCTTTCCTCAATGAAGGAAGTCATGGTTAGGAGCCTGCCGAGGAAGCTGAAGGAGAGGGACTTGGGTGGACATTCTGAGCAGGCCAGCAGGAGATTGCCAGGATAGGGGACATCTGGGACCTGGCTCCCTTTTGGGCTTCATCTTAACTTCTGCGTCACTGGAAGTAGTCCGAGAGCAAGGGCTACCCATCGCAACCCTATCCTATTTCCAGCCTTCTTATTTAAAGCTATAGGTCTATAAGGGGTATCTGATTTCTCTGTGTGGTAATGAAAATGTCCTAAAATTGATCGTAGTGCTGGTTGCACAAATCTCTGAATAATACTAAAAGCCACTGAATTGTACAGTTTAAATTGGTAAATTATATAGTATGCGTCTAGTGTGGTCAGGTTGCTATACCAAAATACCATAAACTGTGTGGCTTATAAACAACAGAAGTTTATTTCCCACAGTTCCGGAGGCTGGGAAGTTCAAGATCAGGATAACAGCTGATTTAGTGTCTGGCAAGAGCCCACTTCCTGACTCATAGATGGTGCCTTCTCACTGTGTCCTCAGAGGGGCAAGCTGGCTCTCTGCCTGCAGTCTCTTTTATAAGGGTACTCATCCTGTTCAGGAAGGCTCCACCCTTATGACATAATCCTCTCCCAAAGGCCCCACCTCCTAATACTATCACCTTGGAAGTTAGGATTTTTTTTTCTAAAGATTTTATTTATTTATTTGACAGAGAGAGACACAGTGAGAGAGGGAACACAAGTAGGGGAAGCGGGAGAGGGAGAAGCAGGCTCCCCACTGAGCAGGGAGCCCTATGCGTGGCTCAATCCCAGGACCCTGGGATCATGACCTGAGCCAAAGGCAGCCACTTAACAACTGAGCCACCCAGGTGCCCCGAAAGTTAGGATTTTAATATGAATTTTGAGGGGACACAAACTTTCAGCCTTTAGCGGTATGTGAATTATATCTCAATAAAGCTCTTCAAAAACCACAATAGGGGCACCTGGGTGGCTCAGTTAGTTAAGCGTCAGACTCTTGGTTTCAGCTCAGGTCATGATCTCAGGGTCCTGGGATCCAGCCCCGTGTCAGGCTCCCCACTCATTGTGGAGTCTGCTTGTCCTTCTCCCTCCCCCTCTGTTCCTCCCTTCACTCTCTCTCTCTCTCTCAAATAAATAGAATCTTAAAAAAATAATAAAAAAGGAAAAGGAAAAAACACAATAAAAAACTACAGATCTATTAGAATGGCTAAAACAAACTATGTGATAAGCCTATAGCTGTCTACAGCAGTTATCAGTCATAAAAAGAAAAACCAGAAGCACCTTAAATGTTTAAAAACAGGGAAGTGGTTACACAGACCATAGAATAGTAAATATGCTGCCATTAAAAATTATCACAATGAGGGGCGCCTGGGTGGCTCAGTGAGTTGAGCGTCTGACTCTTGGTTTCGGCTCAGGTCATGATCTTGGAGTCGTGGGATCCAGCTCTGTACTCAGTGTGGAGTGGGCCAGTCTCTCTCCCTACCTCTTCCCACCCCCTGCCCCCGCCATAGGCACACTTTCTCTTGATAAATAAAATCTAAAAAAAAAAAATAACCATGATGAAGACTGTGAGCCAGCAGAAAATGCTTATGATTTGAAAATAAAGGGAAAAATCTTCCTTCTCTTGTTTTCCCTTTACTTCTGGAATAATTCAGTCCTAAAGGTGAGGCAGAACAAGTTAGGCAATGTGCCCATGGGGGTGGGAGGGAGTCCCAGAGAAGGGTGTCAGAGCCCAGGAGGAGTGAGGAAGGGCCCAGAATGGTCAGAGCCTGAGTAGAAGGTATCCATGAGGGGAGGGTGGTGCTGAGATGGAAGGTTATTTACAAGGGGAGTGATCAAATAAGCATAAGTAAGGCCAGATTTAACAGAAGGGCTTTGGAGGGGCGCCTGGGTGGCTCAGTTGGTTAAGCATCTGACTCTAGATTTTGTCTCAGGTCATGATCTCACGATCATGGGATCGAGCTCGGCATGGGGCTCTACGCTCAGCACAAAGTCTGCTTGTCCCTCTCCCTCTGCTCCTCTGCCCACCCCTCACTCTGTAAAATAAATAAATTAAAGATTTTTAAAAATCTTTAAAAAAAAAAAGAGGGGAGGGGCGCCTGGGTGGTTCAGTTGGTTAAGCGACTGCCCCGAATCAGTCTCCCTGCTTGCGGGGAGCCTGCTTCTTCCTCTCTCCCTGCTCATGCTCTCTCTTGCTATCTCTCTCTCTCAAATAAATAAAATCTTAAAAAAAAATTCCTGGTTTATTTAAGAAAAAAAGAAGCCGGGGAGAGAAGGGCCTTGGAGAAGCTACCCCCTAGTAGCAATGAGCACACCCAGTGCCTGGATCTCAGTTTCTAAATACCATCTGCCACTAAAAGGAACTGGGGCTCCTTGGAGAAACAGCCGATTCCAAGGTTGGGCACAGGATGAACATGAAACACCTTGTTATTCCAGAAAGTAAGAAAGTGCTCAAAGAATGATGGAACCATGTCAACAGGACATGAAAGCCAGCTTGAAGGGACCCCCAGTGACCAAAATGGGGACAATTTGTGCATCAAAATAATAAATGATTGTAATATGTAATATTTACATAATTCAAAGTACTTATTTACAAATAATACTTAATTACAAAGATGAAAAGAGTAACTTTAAAGTCAGAGAAAGCTAGCCATAGTGGCTGAA